GATAAGGTAACACCACTCGAATATATATATAAAAATAAGAAAAAAAATAAAGAAACCTCCAAGAAAACTTCATAAGCATTATTAATTGTTGATAGTTCTGTACGATGTATCTAACGAATGTTGAAAATTAGTAAGTTTAAGACAATTATTTGAAATTTGAAATATTTTAAAAATTTTCATCAGTGTACATGTGAGGCTTCCGCCCTCCCTGAAAAAAAATGTGTGCACTCCTTTCAAATGCATTTTAAGCAAATGTTAAACAGCAAAAACAAGTAAACATTAATAAATGCTGGAGGTTCAGTAAACAGAATTTAAGAGCGCGCATGTAGTACATGGAGTATTAGCAACTCACAAGTACCATAATGTGTAAAGGTAGAGCCATACTCTCAAATTGGCTAGCATAATTCAACTTTTTACGTGTACTAAGATCATTGCTTTGGCTATTGTTATAGCCTGTACATAATATAAGCCTTGGAAGGCTAATTAGGAACCACATACTGGTTATATCCGCAAAATATAAATAAATGAAATTTTTCCTTATCTCGAGGATACAGACCCACTTAAGAATATATAACTAGTAAAATGACGAGGGTACAATAGCAAAAAAAAATTTAGAAAAATAGAGGGGTAGTTCAACAAACAAAAAAAGTTTGAAAGAAAGAAAGGGAGGTAGTAATTTGCGATAACTAGTAGATAATAGAAATTTACAAAAACTGCTAGGATAAAAATAAAGGGCCCTAGTTATTACATAAGTTTTTACTTACATGACAGTATTGCGCAATAGTATACACAAACTGTTTCGCAAAATTGTGTCAACGGGGACAGTACATGGAAATCCTCCTAAGGCAAGAAATCGCGTTGTCACACAAGGAGTATCAAGAATCAGCTTCGAAAACTCACTCAGCCGAGCAAACGCCTCAGAAAGTGCACTCTCGCTAGACATCGTAGAAAAAAAATAAAAGTTCTGTAAATTTAAGGGTAAAACAGCGAAGTAAGTCAGCAAGCATGTCCACGGCATGGAGAGAAGAAGCAAACAAAGAATATCCATTTAATCCCTTTTCAAAACTTTACCTCACAAGAGAAGATAGAGGAGGAGTAGCAGAAAAATATAGTATTAGTAAATGTTAGAATGAAGAATACTAGAAAAATGTAACGACACAGGTCAAAACAAGAATACAGAATACACTGTCGTGAAATAATTTATACCTTTGAGCTCATCTTGATCAAAATATAAGTCATTGTAAGGCGACTGATCATCAAACTATCTGACTCTGCAATGTTCACGAATATATTATATGACCTCACGGGCAAGATGGGATGCTCAACCTTGAAACCGACTATTCACATACCTAATAACCAAATCATGTACACCCGCAAACGCTAATGCGAAGTAGAAGATAACGTATTGAAACATATCTGAGATGAGAAATTTTCAAAAAAGCTAAAAAGAAATAATAATGATAATAATACTAAAATAATCAATAATATTCATACGGAAAACAAAAAGCAAGATAATTAAATACATGAAATATTATATAATTATACAGAGAGAGAGCCACATTCACATTTCGAACAGGGGAAAAGATTTAAAAAAAGTACGGTACATACGGTAATACACTGAAATAGATACTTATCGATGGAATATGAATAATTTCAGGACAGGTATTTATCACAGGGACTTGAACGCGTGTCTGTAGGCAGAAACCAGAGTTCGTAACGAATAGCCATCAGTTTTATGTATTCCAGGGTACAATTGAAGATACTAGAGCAGCTTCGGTGGTCAATAACATAGATAAATAATTAGGTTAGTATTAACCACAGACTTCCCCGTTGGCTACAACCAGTAAAAATTGAAAAATCATACCAAAATAGACTTATCGTTCTACCTCTCGCTAGAACCCAAATTAAGTTCAATTTGCAAACAATTGTGAAAAAAAGTTGATCATTACCACCTAAAGCGGCTCAAAGATTCAGACTGCAAACAATTAACGATAAAATAATGGAAGCTATGGAACCCTCACATACGATTGACTAACCTACTACAGAAAATTAATAATCAACGTGAAATAAGAATAATGCTCTGAGAGGGGGGGGGGAATTTTTAAATTTTCATTCGGAACAAAAAAAAGGGACGATCGTAAAGCGTCAACAGATTTGCTCGACTCAGATAAAAATAATACACATAATCATAATCATAAATATCAATAAAGAAAAATATTAAAGAACTACAAAAAAGAGATAGTTGATCAATTGCAACTATAAATACACTGGATGGTTGCGTGAAGTAGTACATGGTAGACTGTGACTTTATAATAAATTCAGTCCTCTTTAGGGCAAGAAGACTAATACACCCAAGGCTGATATCATCTGTGATTTTTAATAACTCCAAGATATAGCACTAACCATCCAGACCCTAGCTGGTTTTTCTAGGTGAAAAATCTTAAATTAGTCCGCTCAGAATAATAAACATATTTGAATTAACAATTTTAATGCAGAACAATCAATTAATATACCATATAAGCATCCCACTGCTAGATATAAAATACACCGATCCATACAGAATTTTACCCTTGTCAACAAAGCAGGATGGTCTAAGCAGTTGAAATACTTCTGCTTTAATATGGACAAAGCATAAATACATAGCCATAAATAAGAAAATCAACACACACGTGGCCATACCGGCTCTCGAAGTTGTTAGCTGTAAGAAACTGCAAGAGTTATTCATCTGCAAACATATGAAGCCAATAAAAGAGATAAGGTAACACCACTCGATGCAAGGCTTATAGTACAACCCAACGTAAGCAATTAAACAGAATTTTCGGTCAAAATCGTAGAACTGCAAGACTCGTACTAGGCCCAATTCCACGCACCAAACCCTTGGGCCTTTACAACAGTACAAGAGAAATCATCGTTAATAGAGTGCCACAACTCAAACCATAAAACAATTTCATTAAAAGGCACAGGAACTCTACGGCTAAAAACAGACTGTGCTGCTAACAACAATAATATACAGTCTTAAGCCACCCTACAGTCCCCCTCAGCACCCCCTCTAAACAAGGTCGAATTCTAACAGTTTTTAAGTAATTTTAAATGGAATAAATTTTGGTTAACCATTATCCATCCCTTCTCAACCCCCCACTTAATTTTGACAAGCCCCCCGGAAGCCCTCCATCTCCCCCCATCCCTCAACCACCCTTCTAAGGTTAAGTTATGTTGTTTTTAACTATATTTTTATCGGGTTACATTTTTGTTTAGCCACCCCTCCTTTACCCTCCCCCTTTTATAATTTTATATTCCAATAACCAGATAATTCAATAAGCCTCTCTTATAATTTTTTTCTTTAAAAGAACTCCCTTTAGCCTTCCAACAGCAGCATCTCTTAATAGAGTAAAATTATATCAGTAAACATGTCATATTTAATTTCATTACTTTTTACACCCCCACTGTCAGCTCTCCTCATACTTTTTCAGAATACCTCTCAGCCTTCTCACAATTTCTGAACAGCCAGTTTCCACCACTTCTTAGCTCCGTGTTATCATTTCTCATTCGAATGTAATAATTATGTTGACTGTATAATTTATCAGCACATTTTCATACTGTCAGTTTGGACCAATTTTTTTTGGGTTAAATTTTTGTTTAGTCCCTTTCTACCCCCTCTCATAACTTTGTAACCCAAAAACCAAATAGTCTAAGATAATTTTGAAGAACTCTCTCCAGTAATCTTTCAGCTGCATCTCTAAATAAAGTAGAATTACATCGGTTTTCATATCATTTCTAGTTGTATGACTATTTGCACCTTCTGTCTCAGCTCTCTTTACAGTTTTAAGAAAGCCCCTATTTTCTAGCACATTAGCACATTTCTGCTCCACCGTTGAGATAGTGCTATGGCACGCTGATTATTTTTTTCTTAAGTTTTCTAAAAGCGTATTTATTGCATTATTGAAAATATATAAGACCATGACATTGTATTTTTATACTTAATCAATAACAACGAATAAACTTAAAGAACATGTACCGTGGACCTTACTTGTAGCCTTACTGACCATGGAAAAGTAGAAATCTTAATAATATTTTATACATATGATACATATTTTTTTACTTATAATTTATATTAGTTACTCAATTAAGATTATTTCAGAAAAACGCAAGAAAGCTAGAATATAAGAAAAATTTTTTTATATTAATTTCAATGTAACTTGTATGTTTTATTTTTTACGAGTAAAATTTAATTCTATCTTATTGTTCACGATATTTTTAAATTAGTTGCAAGGTGTTGTCATGGAGAGATTTACATTTAAAGTAACAGAAATTTTAATTCAATTTTTTTCATTTTTTTAATGTGATACTCATGCACTAGTCAATTTAATAACGTTCAGTTACTCACTATCAGAGCTTGGAATAGCATATATATCTAATTCAGGAATGATTGCATCCTCATACTGTAGGCTAGAATCTCGTATTAATACACCTTGTGGTGATTCGGGGGGTGTAGCCATTCCAGTCATACCACTCCAACTCCATAACCGCCTAGAAACAATAATGATTAAATATTTACATAGTCATAAGTGTGATACAATCGAATAAAAAAGCGTTTAAAACGAATGAAAACAAAGAAACATTAAATCAACTAATTAGACTATTTATAGTTAGATCGATGAAGTTCTTACAATTTGGAATTATAAGAAACAAAAGCTAGTAAGAACAAGTTTGCAAGTCTGTTGCTTATTGTTAGTTTAATACTGAGGAGTATGCAGACATAATTTTTTTTTTATAGTATCAAAATTTATCAGCAAAATGAAAAAGTATTTATAAATAAACAGGAATGTAGAAACAAGTTCTAAGTGGATCGATGTTAAGTAAGAATTATTTCAAGCCTACGGCACAACCTTTGATTTATCTTTATTACAGTAGTTATTTTCTGATCTTAATGAATGTAGAAAACTAATGCAACGGAAGAAAGAATTGCTTCAAAACATAGTTGTCAATAAGGAAACGATTGGTTTTGATTTTTAACTCTTGATATAATTAAAGTTAGAATTTTCTTAGTTAGGTTTTTGATTTATTGATTGTTATCCAAGAACTGAAGAATTCTGAACTTTCAACCACTTATATCGCAAGTAGCAAGTAAAGTTTTAAAGAATTGCTTCTATTTTAACAAACAGTCTTGAACGTATGATCAAAAAATTAATTTTTTAGTATAACATTAATTTTAAATGTAATAACAATTATATTTATTAAAAGCTAACAATATTTTTTTTTGTACAGTGTTGTGGGCATAGAAAAAAAAGCCAAAGTACAGCTTATGAGACAAAACGAATATAATCAAATTGATATTGGTAGATAGTTTGTTTCATGCCAGTGTTTCAAAAAAAAAGTAGTATAAGTTTTTCATACTTGACATAAATTGTAAAGTTGCTCCTTCTAAGCTTATGCGACATATAGATTAGGTTTTTATTAAACAAATTAATTTTTTGAAATGATTTAACAGTCTTTATCTTGTAATTTTTTTGCAAATTTTGTNAATTATCTAGATATGTTTTAATGTGCTATGTAAGAGGGAATACTCATATAATCCTCTAGTTTAAAAACTCGTTTCTATAAACTTGTATTTTTTCAGATAACTCAATAGACAAATTTTATGAGAATCTGACATTACTACGTATGGCATCAGCCTTTTAAGCTTTGATATTATTATTTTTAAATCTTCCCAAGTTACTACTTCCACTGTTTCAGCAGCATTGGCATTAACTGGAGCTAGGGGTTTGTAAATAATTTGAAAGTTTAAGTAAGCACTCTTTAGTTTTTTTTTTTACATACGTTGACAGTCTATTCTATTTTTGGACAGCCACTCGTGTCTTTATTAGCATGTAGCAACAGCGATAAAATTCGTATTTCGATTTAACATCAAGACTTGTGTCCTTTCCCACCCAGAAATTCTTTATATATTTACAAAAGTTTGTTTAAATTTTTAAGGTCACCATAATTTCGATACAACGCGTAATTATTATGTGTTGCAATATAATATGCATGCTTATTTTCCAAATTTACATTATGGCAATGATTGTATGCCTTTATTAGGCAAACATTATTTTCTCAATCGTATACATTTAATCGTTCTTGATTGTTCATAACAAAACGAGTCATTAAAGAATGCTCTGGTAGATGTGAGGCTAGAATTTGAGTCACATGTTATTTTACATCCAGTACATCAGTTTAATGCTTTAGTTTACATGACTGTATCGTTTAGTATCGTTTAATGAGTAAAGATGTCAAGAAACTTCTGTAAAGATATACAAAGCCGATTTATGGCTCTGCTAGCATCAATTTATTCTCAGTCATCAAGGATGAGGGCCAAATCAACAGTTAGGCTCAGAAAGTAAAAAATAAACGACGGCAAAAAGAATGATAAAAATTTATGAAGAAAAATGGCATAAAAATACAAAGGTTAAAAAAACAAAATTCGTGGAAAAATTAAAAGATAAAGACTGTTAAATTATTTCAAAAAGTTGATTTGTTTAATAAAAATCTAATCAATATGTCGCATAAGCCCAGAAAATCAACTTTACAATTTATGTTAAGTATTAAAAACTTTCAACTAAAAACAACGATAGTGATAGAAACAAGAAATCTTGGCTGAAATCTTAGTCAATAAGTATTTATCTAACAAAGAGTCTTGTAAAGGCTATCAAATTAAAAAAAATAATAAAATGAAATAATATGTTATAATGGGGAAAAATAAAGTATATCGTGGACATGCAAGGTTTTACGACACCATGTTATGCTTATGTTCTCAAAAAACTAGATATATTTCTACTTATTGCTCACGACACCTAAGTTCAAGGATGTTTTAAGGCACTTTCTACCCAGCGAAGATAACCACAAAATTATAAGCTTGAAAACTCACACCTCAAACTTGACTATCATAGATAAACTAACTGGAACTAAGGAAAAATTGAATACACAAAAAAAGGAGACTTTATATGAGAGAATAATAAAAATGCTTTGAAGTTACTTGTTTTTGGAGATCTAAAACAAAAAGAGCTTAAAATGTCTATAATTAGCTACCAGTTAATGATTAATAGGTGCAATTCATGGTTTAGGAAATACTTCGTTAAAATGTAATAAAAATGTAAATAGTAAATAACGAATTAGTGCTAGTCTAACCTAACGTGTCTAAGCGGAGATATTGAGGAGGGAAAATTCAAATTGTCATTTATGTAGAATTTTCTATTAAACAAAGGCGGATAAATTTTAAGTAAATTCTAAATTATCGAGTACATTAGGTATTTCATTTTCTTATTATTAACGCAAATAATCGCGATTACTCAAATATAATTAATACATGTGGAAATTGAAGATACAATTTCCTTAGAATCATATGATTGAATAAATATAGGATAATTAAAAATAAATTGATTGNTTTACTGAAATAGACAAAAATGTTCGATAACTGATGGTCAAGTTCAGCAGTATCTTGTTAATTTTAAGGTAAGCTTTGGAACTCAAAGCTATGTCGTAAAGCTAAGTTAAATTACTGATTCCTTATAAATTTTTGTGATCAAACTGAGCACAATCTACCATTTATGATTTATGAATAATAAATGAATTGAACAGCCTTGATTTACATCAATACTCATAAGTCCGACTTCGTAACTATAGCATAATTTATCATGGAAAAATATTTCTAAATGATTACTTTTTTATTTTTTTGGTACGTAATTTATAAACATAGCTAGCCATCTAATTTTCTTAGTAGGTGATACGCTTATGAATAGGAGATTATGTATAGTCGGCAATATGAGCAACTTTGCTCTTTTACACAGGGCAGTGAACCCGCCCTGCGACATATAAACACTAACATTGTTTGTGTGTTGGTTCCTAGTCTTAGAGTTTCCTCGGTACATATAATATTCTTAGCCGATTATTACCACCACTAATTAACCGGAGTTATACTAATAGGAAGGGAAGTCGTAACGCTAGCAGAGCCATAAATCGGCTTTGTATGGCTTAATAGAAGTTGCTTGACATCTTTACTCATTAAATGATACTAAACGATACAGTCATGTAAACGAAAGCATTAAACTGATGTACTGGATGTAAAATAATATGTGACTTAAATTCTAGCCTCACATCTACCAGAGCATTCTTTAATGACTCATTTTGTTATGAACAATCAAGAACGATTAAATGTATATGATTGAGAAAATAATGTTTGCCTAATAAAGGCATACAATCATTGCCATAATATATATAAATTTGGAAAATAAACATGTATATTATATTCGAAATTAAAATCACCTTAAGGATAATACTGTGAATTTAAATAAAGTTTTACATTTCTTCTATTGCAAAGATCAAACATACTAGCACTTACATTGTTCAGTTTTTTTGGTTAGTCAAACAGGGTTAAATAACGTAACGTGGCATTTTTAACTAATAATATGTCCTAATTATCTAGATATGTTTTAATGTGCTATGTAAGAGGGAATACTCATATAATCCTCTAGTTTAAAAACTCGTTTCTATAAACTTGTATTTTTTCAGATAACTCAATAGACAAATTTTATGAGAATCTGACATTACTACGTATGGCATCAGCCTTTTAAGCTTTGATATTATTATTTTTAAATCTTCCCAAGTTACTACTTCCACTGTTTCAGCAGCATTGGCATTAACTGGAGCTAGGGGTTTGTAAATAATTTGAAAGTTTAAGTAAGCACTCTTTAGTTTTTTTTTTTACATACGTTGACAGTCTATTCTATTTTTGGACAGCCACTCGTGTCTTTATTAGCATGTAGCAACAGCGATAAAATTCGTATTTCGATTTAACATCAAGACTTGTGTCCTTTCCCACCCAGAAATTCTTTATATATTTACAAAAGTTTGTTTAAATTTTTAAGGTCACCATAATTTCGATACAACGCGTAATTATTATGTGTTGCAATATAATATGCATGCTTATTTTCCAAATTTACATTATGGCAATGATTGTATGCCTTTATTAGGCAAACATTATTTTCTCAATCGTATACATTTAATCGTTCTTGATTGTTCATAACAAAACGAGTCATTAAAGAATGCTCTGGTAGATGTGAGGCTAGAATTTGAGTCACATGTTATTTTACATCCAGTACATCAGTTTAATGCTTTAGTTTACATGACTGTATCGTTTAGTATCGTTTAATGAGTAAAGATGTCAAGAAACTTCTGTAAAGATATACAAAGCCGATTTATGGCTCTGCTAGCATCAATTTATTCTCAGTCATCAAGGATGAGGGCCAAATCAACAGTTAGGCTCAGAAAGTAAAAAATAAACGACGGCAAAAAGAATGATAAAAATTTATGAAGAAAAATGGCATAAAAATACAAAGGTTAAAAAAACAAAATTCGTGGAAAAATTAAAAGATAAAGACTGTTAAATTATTTCAAAAAGTTGATTTGTTTAATAAAAATCTAATCAATATGTCGCATAAGCCCAGAAAATCAACTTTACAATTTATGTTAAGTATTAAAAACTTTCAACTAAA